TTCTCGTTGGGTTTGCTGTGTCAGCTATCTGCAGAGCTGGGACAGCACACAGAGGGAACACACGCACACAGCCGAGTGATATCAACATAGGAGAAAGCAGAGCACCACACCGGTAGCATCTGACAACATGTACAAACATGGACTGTCCAAGCAGGGGCTCCAACAGCCATGCCTCCGCCATGATGCCTGGTGGGGTGCTGCTCATACACCACTCTTAGACAGTGTGTGTGAATGTGCTCCTATCTGATTCTAGCTATGTTTGGCTGCTGGGGTGGGGGACAGGGATGAGGACAGAGAGCTATTTCCTGCCACTTGTGGGATGGCTAATACTCGTAGCCAGAAGTAGTTCTTGTGCCAGAGAGCCTAAGACAGGGGTTTTCAAACTGGGGGTCAGGACCCCTCAGGGGGTTTTGAGTGGTCAGCCTCCACTCCAAACCCTGCTTTGCCTCCACCATTTATAATAGTGTTAAATATATAAACAAGTGTTTTTAATTTATAAGGGGAGTTGCACTCAGAGGCTTGTTGTGTAAAAGGGGTCACCAGTACAATAGTTTGAGAACCACTGGCCTAAGAACTATACTTCTTGTATGGCTGCTGTTCTGTGATGCATAGGTTTGGAGAAGACTGCATACCCAGGCATAGAATCATAGACTATCAGGGTTGGAAGGGACCTCAGGAGGTCATCTAGTCCAACCCCTTGCTCAAAGCAGGACCAATCCCCAGACAGATTTTTGCCCCAGATCTCTAAGTGGCCCCCTCAAGGATTGAACTCACAACCCTGGGTTTAGCAGGCCGATGCACAAACCACTGAGCTATTCTTCCCCCCTCCCCATTGCCTCTTAACTATTGTTTATGCCAATCTCTTCCTCTTAAATTATTTTTCATGCACAGCCCGTTTTAGACATTTGGCTCCAACCAAATTAACCAGTTGCTTTCAATAAATATAAATTTAACAAAAGATTCTGCACTCTGCCAGGCAGTGGAAGCCAAGGCATATGGTTGAGAACAATAAAATCAAAGAGAAATTGTCTACATTAGTAAATCAAATTTGTTAGGAGACAATATGTATTCCCTTGTTTCACTATCCTCAGTAATACTGTTTAATTCCACTGGGAAACAAGTTCTGCTTTCCACTGATATACTAATATCAGCAACTGTGTGTGGGTATCTAGTTAGTGTGAAGACAGACTAAATGGCAAGATATGTTCCTGATCTGGAAACCACTAATAAGCAAAGCAATGGGGAGGGGGAGTGTTAAAATAACAGAACACTTTGTTAATATATTAATTTCTGGAATGTAGTGGTCTCAGTAAAATAGCTGCTAGAAACAGATCTTAGTTTAGGTTTGCCCTGGCTCCCATACCTTACAATTAAAATGTGGATAGTTTTCACAGAGGCTTCAGCAACTGGAGTGGCAGCAAAGAATGTGGGTGGGGTGAGGTGTCAGGAGATCCTGAATTCTAATTCTGGCTCCACTACTGACTTGCTGTGGGCTTTGAGCAATACACTTCACCTCTAGGCTTCAGTTTCCCTATCTGTAAAATGGGGTTAATGACACTATTCACCCTCTTTGTAACTTAGGCCTTTGAGAGGAATAGTTAAAATACTTTACAAAATATTAACAAGAAAATCACTATGTAAAGGCTAGTTCTGTGTCTGTCTACTGTTAAACATTCAGCAGTCACAAAGTCTTTTAAACCATTTGCTTCTCTCTTTCTTATTCCACACGCTTGCTATTATTTGTGGAGTAGCAGCAACTTGTTCTACTCTTAATTTTCTACCAGGGGGATTTTGTCCAAGTGAAAAATGCAAGATTGGACCATAGCATTTGGATTGGAAGCATTTATGTACAATTGGGTGTGCATGGCATTTGAGAAACAAAATGGCCAGTCCCTGCCCTAGGAGCTTGCAGGTAAATTAGGCATGACATAAAGCAAAGGATGATGACACTGGAGGGCTGGGGAAGAGTATGGGTTGGCGTAAGATCGTGAGATGTTCTTGTTGTTTATGTACCTTGGTGGTCTCTCTTTTACACTAAAATATGGGGTAGTGTCTGGAATGAGAGCCAGGGTGGAGATCAGTGATGGAAGTAGGGTTCAAGTCTAGGGTTTTGTTGTTGTTGTTGGAGCTAGATTCGCGCTTTTTTCTGATTACTACAGTGACATAGTACTAGTGCTAAAAAGCATTCTTAAAGTACAATAGTAGAAGCTTATTTGTTTTAGCAAGTAGAGCTAAAGCATAGTCTCATAATCTACTTACACAAGATGGTGTCCTTTCTAAGTGAAAGGTGACTGCAGCTCCTGGAAAAGTACTGAATCCTTTTATATTCTGGTAGCATCCACAATGTAGTAGGCATTGTCCGCACACACAGGAACTCTCTGCCTTGATCTTTGGCTGCAGGTTTGCAATCAGATGCATGCATGTGGACCTTGGGAACTCTGCAGAGACCCACTGACTTCAGTGAGACCTCACCTGGCTATAAGAGTCCTTCTATATGGATTCAGATGCAGGATTGGGGCCTGAGCCAACAAGCAATGTACAAGGGGAAGGGGAACCAATCAAAATATGTGCAAATTTTATATGGATTGTAATCACTGGTCAATGTGTGTGAGGTTTCTCCTCCCTGTGCCTAACCCACAGCGATGCTAGTCTGGCACAGTTCTGACCTTGAGCGCCTGGCTCTGTAGCTCAAGCTGTGGAGACTCTCACTTTCAGTTTTTGAGGACCCGGGTACGGTAGTTGTCACACTATCTTTAATTTTTTTTTACATGTTTCTTAGGCTTTGGAGTTTAGACTATGGGCTGGAAGGCTGTATATGAAATCATCCACCTGTGATTTGCTCTCCCCCCTTCCGGGATTTTGAGTCCTTCAGCAACCTGGCACTTTTACCCCCTAGGAAATAAAGTGAAGAGTTGGATCTTGCTCAGGTACCTGAACGAGTTGGGATTGGAGGTCTCGGCTGGGGTGAAGGAAGTTCATGGCCTGTTTCAAGCTCCCAGGAGTCAATTCCTCCAAGCTTTCTTCTCCCCCTGAACAGGTTGGGCTCTCCTTTTATACTGGCAACGTCTAACAACCCATTTCTCTGTAGAATTCTAGCCTCAATTTCACGTAGTCCGTGGGCTCAGAGGACAATCGTTAATTTTAAATGTGCAACGATAACTTCACCACCTACCATCTTCGGTGGGGAATGTAAAGGGTGTCTTAATCAGCACTTCCCTGGGGCTTAATTCCCATTCTTCTCTAGTCCCTCAGGAGGCTGCAGAGCGGCAGCGTGTACTTTGTCCACGAGTCTGTAGAAATAGATCACAGCATTCTGTCTAATCAAATATGGTCATCAATTATCTCCCCACCTTTCATGTTTCCTTGCACAGAGGAGTAAAAGCCCTTGCTGTGAGAAGATCTTTGTAATCCCCGCTGCATCAAACTGTCAGCGACAGGACCATTAAAACAAAATAAAAAACCCAGAAGCCAAATATTCTTTGCAGCCAGTAGTGGCTTCCTATTCAAGTTTGCCTGAATAAAATGAATAGCAGAACCTGGGCTGGGGGAGGTATAGATTCCAACCTTCCCTTTCCTTTGGGATCAGTCGGGGAAAGAATGGAGGCTAGCTCATCTGGGCGAACTATGCGCCTGGCTCCCCCGGAAAGGCTACCTGCCAGCCAGCAGAACCTGGTAGGGCGATAGGATCGTTTTATTGGCAGGGAACCAAAAGGTGGCGGGGCAAGGCAGTGCTGTAATTTTTCTCCAGGAGAGCCCCTGTAGCCCGGATAAGGCGAGGATAGGTCAGAGTGACAGAAATTCACCCACACAAGTGGGGTGAGCTCCGTGACCAGCCCCTGTCCCTTGGCTCTAGCGAGTTGTTAGTGGTGGCCGGGCATAGCCTCGATCCCTTTGCACGTCATTTGCCATGGGGGTAAAAACTGGGGCTGATCAGCCTGACTCTCCCAGTACGATGAGTTCGGGGAGAAATTAACAAGCAAGTTGGCTCCCATCCAGCCTGTTCCAGGGAATCGAGTCGAGAACAAAAGGGGCGGGGGGGATGGTGGCTTGCTCGTTGAGGTTTATTATTATTGGGTGGGAGAGGGTAGCGGGGGGAGCAGACAAAATGCGGAGCCCCCTCCCTTCCCCGAGCCCAGCCTGTGTGTTTGGGAGGGAGACAGGCAGTCGTGGCACGTCCGTGTGAGATGTAGAAAGAAGTGGGGGGAGGAAGGTGGAGAAGACTGAGCAGCAGCCAGAGCATGTTCTCGATGCAACAGTTCCCTGCCCTGCCTCCGGAAGAAGAGCGTTACCGCCAGGTCCTCTCCACTGACCGGGTAAGGCAAGCGCAGCTCCCCGGCCACCCTACGCAGCTACCGCGTGGGTCCTTTCCCTTGGCACCAGCGGTGGCCACAGGGTCCTGGAGTGCCCGGGGCTGGGGCCGTAGCCCATCGGTCCCCGATGGAGTCGTCTCCACCTCCTGGATGAGTAAGTAAGCCCCAGAGCGGCTGCCAGCCGCGGGGACCGCGCACAGAGGCGCGCAAGATGCGCTGCAGAAGGGGGACGAGAACACCGCGCTGCTAGTGTAAAGGTCTGGGCAGCGCCTGGCGCGCTCCTCGCTGAGTCGTCCGCAGACCGGGGCAAGGGGCAACAGGGTAGGAATCCACATGGTTCCAGTTCGAGTACCCAGCTCACGCCGGTTTAGCTTTGCAGAAACGATCCCTTTTAAAGGGGCCATAATTCCTTCGGGGCAGAAACCGGAGTGTCTCGTTCGGGCCCGATGTGTGTGTTCGAGAAACGCTCTGGGGAAAGGAGAAACTTCTTGAGCAGGTCCAGCCTGGTGGCCGAGCCGCTGCACCTTACACGGCACCTGTAGCCGCCCTCTGCCTTTCCACCGCCCGCTTTATATTTTGTTAAGGGGCAATTAACTTTAGGTTATTTAGGTTTCAGAGTAGCAGCTGTGTTACTCTGTATCTGCAAAAAGAACAGGAGTACTTGTGGCACCTTAGAGACTAACAAATTTATTTGAGCATAAGCTTTCGTGGGCTACAGCCCACTTCTTCGGATGCATAGAATGGAACATGTTGCCTGCTGCACTCTGCATAACTTTTCTCAGCTCTCGCCAATCATCGGCCACAAATGGATCCGATTAAAACCAAATGAATCCCCTTTGCTGTTCTCCTTGAGCCCGTGTGGCTAACAGAAGGCGGCGGGGCTGGGAACAGGAAGGTGACTGCGGATTTATCATTTGTATGGCAAGTCTTACACTGGACTTCTGCTAAACTTGTGGGCTCAGCCCTCGCCTGTCTCCAGGGAGTCAGTCCTGTCTGTTCCATTCTATGCATCTGATGAAGTGGGCTGTAGCCCACGAAAGCTTATGCTCAAATAAATTTGTTA